TGCAAAAAAGACGATCAATTAATAATTGACAATGAACAAATTGACCATTGAATCCTGTTGTGGATTTTTCTTCGTAGCTAGTTGTATTGAAAATATTAATTGTAAGCACTTCGTCAACTTTTTTACGCCTTCTTGTTGTTTGATCAGATACAATTTGATCTACAAGAGAATTCAATTGCGTAGATATATTTTTAATCTAAACATATTTTTATTAATCAATGATTGTGATACATAGCTTATAACTGACGAATGAATTAATATCTTCATAATTTATGAGTAGAACTTTTCCATAAGATCAGACACTATGCTAGAGAATAGTGTGTTCTAATCTTAAAAGTTACCGTATGAAATTAACATAGGAAACATAAGGGACTTGCATTGACTGTATTGAGTTCTCTCTCGCACATTTCTTACTATCTGAATGAAACAGGGAGATTTTGCATTATTGGATTCGTACTGGATTGATACAATTGTTCAAGTTTTTTTTTTTTATTTCAAAATTCAAACGAGAACCGAAAAACCGAATTGCCTTTTTTTTCTTATTTAGTGCTGTATTATAATGTGAGTTCGACTTTTGAACTGGTCTGCAATCGACTTTCTTTTGTTTCTTGCAGAATTAAAAGAAAAACTTCTGTATATCGCACAATCTTTGAATAGAACAAGAGCAAAATTTTTCAAGAGAATGATTTTCTCGTTATTTCAACGATGTTTGCCTCTTATTACCTTGCCGAATTCTTTCGTCCAATCGTTACTTCGTTTCTTGTTTGAACAGTGTATATAGATTGAAAATTATCTATCGTAATGAATGAATTCGAGGTACTACTTATTGTTTCAATCAATCCTTAGCAATAAAGATAATTCGATCTTCTTCTAGTAAAGATCGTATGTATGATTCGCACTGAACAGCATCGTCAAATGCCTTTAGATGATTGATTAATTTACGAAGTCCCTTGTGAGCATCGATGTAGTCTTTAGCTTCTTCCACTGCAGAATCGAGTCAAACTCAAGCGTAGGTTTCGAGATTGTTGTAATGTTCTTTAGTTGAGACAGCGGGAGTTGCTTGTACCATTCGATACTTTCATCTTCGTCTGTTGGCTGATCATTGACTACCGTCAATGCTGCATTATGATTCTCCAACAAATAACATTATTTTGAGTTTCTATTACATTGCGTTCATAAAATAAAAAAAAAAAGAATCTTTCTCCCGTTCTGCATTTGTTTATTGACGACAATGTCGCGCTAATAGCAGAAGCGACATCTTGATGCAAGACTACGTAAGGAAGTAAAAAAAAAGATGGAGTCTAACTTGTGTAACAAGAAGAATTTATAATACATGATCACATGGATTGATGATGGAGCAAAACAAACAAAACAAATCGATATACTTTCTCAACATCAACATGATATAAATCGCTTGCGCTTGTTTCATTCAAGAATCTATTATTCAGAATCTTTTCTAGTCTAAACTGCTTCGAATATTTACATGTTTGAACAACAATCTTCATGTCTATTTCGGTGTAGAACTGCTCGGTTAGAATCTATTTTCCATCAATGGAGGGTGTGGTTGAAATGGCGAGCCACCATCACACTATCACCTAAAACCACCCCAACCGTCCACACTCACCCTAATGTAGGTGTTTATAAAAGTACTCTTATTTTATCTTTACCATACAACTGATAAAAGATAAATTTTTCTCACTTTGTTGTTACTAAAACAGTCCTGTTTTTTTTCAAAGTGTTTGTCAGACAATCTGGATATGGATCGAAAAAATAAAAAAGAATTGAAATCAAAATTCATTTTTATAGAATATCAAAGTCTCTAAAAATGGGACTAATTGTACACTTTTCTTTTTGTTTTACTATAATCAAAGCAAGTTTTTTTTTTTTCTGTAAACATATCACCAAAAATTGGCCTTTTCTTATTATACGTGTGTCAGAGTCCTAAAGAAATAATATGTAAAGAAAATTGTCCAAATAAATTGGCAGAAACAAAAAGTTATTAGTCAAATAAAACTGCAATTCACTCATGTGAGTAAAACATCCTAAGACTTAGATCGATGATTCGAATTACTGTAAAAATTTCGAAGTGTTTTCTCATTCTATTTCTATTTGACTAGTTTCATTTGAAATTATTTATTTGATTGTCTCAAGAGAAAAGAAATTGTTGGTCGTCAATAAGTACTGAAAATAATTATTGAATGATCTTTTCTTGTTAACTTTTTTTATGATTTTTCTACTTCGTTACTACATTGTCATAGATTTTTAAAAGAAAATATTAAATATCATAATAACCTATAAACGAGCTTTAATCATTAAATTGCAATTCTTATAAAAATCAATTTTACTAAATTATCCAATTTTCATAGTTTCAATAACGTAAAATATATTTATATTCCAATTATCTGTAAAAATAAGATTCAATCTTTGATTAGTCAAAAGAGTAGATAGTAATAACTAAATTATTCTTATAAATTCTTTTCCTGACATGTATAATTATATAAGAAAACACACAGTACAATTAAATTCTTAACATCAAACTTTCTTTTTTTTTTTTATACATTTTCTAAAGACAACTTGTCAGAATTCCTATACTAGAAACAATATTAAAACATAAAATCAAACAAATACATTTCAAGATTATAGGAAATGTCATTTTGAAATTGTGAAATTCTTCAAACAAATATTTTATAAAATTCATCAAATGAAATTTTTCCATCACCACTTGAATCTACTGATTGAACAATAGCTTCGATATCACCTCGACTTAAATGTCTTCCCATACGTGTTAATATATGATTAAGTTCATTTGCTGTTATATAACCATTGCCATCTGCATCAAAATTTTTAAATGCTATTTGTAATTCATGTTGCGAATATTTTTTAAAAAATGATGCAGCCATAACTTTTTTAAATTCTCTATAATCAATTTCACCACTATGATCACTATCCATTTGAGTTAACAATTGTTCTACTTCATGATCAGTAGTTGTGATATTTAATGCATGAAGTACACGTTTTAATTCGGATTTTGATATTCTACCTGAATGATCTAAATATAAAATAAAATAATAGTTAATTTAATTATATTCGATATTTAATATACCACTATCAAAAAGATCAAATGCATCATGTAATTCACGTTCTTGACTTGCTGTTAGTTGAGCCATGAACTAAAATAAATAGAATATCTAAAAAAAGAAATTTATATATTTGACTAATAAAATAAAACACTGTCTTGCATTCTATCATAACCTTGACATCCTTTTGTATGCTTTAACTTTTTCTTCTCTATATACTGCTTCTTGGCATAGAAAAGAAAAAGAAAACTTTTCGACCTACTCGTACCGATAAAGCAAAAAAGAAAAAGCGACGCTCATCGCCAATGTCAGAAAAAAATATGTTTCAATAAGTAATGGAAGACGAATAAAATTCTTTTTTTCTTGCTTTTTAACAGAATAAAAAAAAAAAATTCTCTCGTGATAAAAATCTACTTAGTTAAATGCTATGTTTATTTAATTGTTTGATGTAATTCTTACTTCCCACCTATTAAAATGATGAATTAAATCTTCAAATGAAAATATTTACCAATATGATGAAAAAAATGATTCACTCTTATAGGACTATTACGATGTTCAAATGAAAAAATGAATTCAACTAATAAATTTAATTAATAGGAGAGATTGTTAAGTCATATTCTGTTCTATAATCTGCTAATATTTACTTTCAATATTAAATAACAATTTTTATCTATCAAGTAAGAAGTATAATGATAGTTAATACGTAGTGAAAACTGTTAAAAGATGTCTACGTTGATTTGAATGCATATAGATTTTTTTTTTCTTTTCTATTAAAACTATATTTCCATCAAAGCATATTCATTCACTTGTTTTTTAACCTTGTAGAATTGATTACATGATGAATTTTTAATATGTCAAAAAAACCTAATAACGACTATGAATAATCAATCCACACAATTACATAATAATATATATTATGTGTCTTTATTATTAACTGTCATTGGCTAATGAACAGCTATAATAAATATAATTATAGGAAAGAATTTTTATTCTTATTTTACATGTCCTTGATTTGTTAGAGTTTATTCTAATAAGATGTGTTGTTTCTTAATCAAGAAAATCGATATTTTTCACAACTACGTATTTTTATTTTTAATAATAAAAGAAAATTTGAACACATTTACTATTGTTTTTTTTGTTACTATGAAAATAATAAGTGTTTTTTTTTTTATTCAATATCTTCATTATATTTTTGTCTATTTCGAATCCATAACCATGAATATGAAACTAATATTGATAAACTAGCTCCAATTGTTGATGAAACAAGACATGTTATTGGCCATTGTTGCCACCAACGATCCCAATCTAATGGAATTGGTATTGCACCTAACCATGCGCCAATAATTGTTCCCCATACTAAATTTCTCATATAAAAAAATTTTCTTGAAGTTGACATTATTAAAGAAAATTCATTTTGAAATACATAATTATATATTTCCTTTAGATTTCCTTTTAAACTAATAATAATCGGTGTAAAACCAATTAAAACAATATAAATACTAAATATTAATGTTCGTAACATATCAGTTAATAATGGTGCACCCATTAAAACACTTACACAATATGTTATACTAATTAATTGTAAATAACAAAATCCTATAGATATATTCATCTAAAAAGAAATTATTTTTAATTTTCTTTTTTCTTGTTTTTTTTTTTTTTCTCACACGCGCATTATAATTCGTTTCAATTAATTCTAATGCGCAAACAAAAAAATTCGATTTGTGAAAATGAAACGATTATATAAACAGAACAAAAAAGAAAAGAAGAACAAAAAAAGAAAGAACATCAGTCCTAGAGAATAACCACATTTCTTTTTTTTTTTTTTTTTTTTTTGATATATACATATAGCTTTGAATGAAAAAGAAGAAAACAAATGTTATTTCGAAAGAGCAAAATAAAAGAGATTTAAAAATTAATTTATCAAGTCATTGGTGAACGTTCTGATGAACCTTCAGGATTATGATCTTTTTGACGATTGTTTATATTATCCACTTGATAACGACGACGTCTAAACAATAATAATAAGTTGATTATATCTTTCGTTTTTTTTTCTGGTCTTACGAGGGAGTTATCCGAATGGTTTCCTTAAGGATGCGCTCATATTTTATCCACAAGTAGACTTCAATATCAATAGTCAAAGTCTAAAAGAATTCGAGCCCATGGTATTTTGACCTGAAATTTCGCTCACAATGAGATTTCAAGGTTATTAGACTGTCCTACTAAAATTTCAATCACAACGAATGCTTTTGAGATGGTGAATTTTGAAAATGTTTAATTTTCTATGACACATGTTCATTTTCTTTATAGCTACCCAATATCTTAAGTATAAAGCATTTGTTTTTGGTTGAAACTATTAGGACACTCTAATAACCATGAAATCTCTTTATGGGCAAAAATATCATAGAGCTGAATCATTTCGAACTTCGATTATTGACACTGAGATCTACTTGTAGGCAAAATATGAGTTCTAAGTTGAGGAAAGATTTTTAGATACTTTCCTCATTAGATAATTACCTTGCATTTTGACTGGGTATACCAGGTGGTGGTTTTGGTAAATGGCCTGTTGATGAACTCGATACATCATCAGGAATCAAATTATTAATTGATGATGGTGATGGTTGATATTGTTGATAGTCTATAGGTCCATTGTCAAGCATACTACTAATTATGTTTGGTGTTGTATTACTAGTGTAATAAGATGTGGACGGATATAATGATAAAGGTTGTTGTTGATAATAAACTGGATGAGCAATAGGTGGATTTAATAAATCTTTAGAAGATTTAGTATGTTGTATTTGTTCATTTATAGTTGTAGAAAGATTTGATTTTGAATACATTTGTTGTGGTGATATATTCATGGCATCATTTGAAGATTTCATTATGAATGGAGTAGATGATGATGGTCGTTGAGATGAATTATCATTATTATTGTTAGAGGAAGAATTATTTTCATAGAATAATAATTTTTTAGAGAAATCATCACCACGATGAACTTCAAATGTTGATAATGATTTACGAGCACCGTTTGAAAAATGTTGTTGATCATTCTTTGATTCAATAGTATTTTTATCTCGTGAAGTAATAATAGGTTCATCTTGATTTTGATCTATATTTAAATAAAAATAATATAAAATAGAGAAATTTTTATTGAAGTATATAAATATATTCATGCAAAAACTCTCTTGAATAACAATAATGATGATGATGATGATGATGATGATGAAGAAATAGAAATAAATATATCTACATGCAAAGTTAATTGAACATAAACCCATTTTTGAATGCATGCATTTTCTTACTTGAAATCTGTATTTTTGTTGATGGTAAATATCGTTGAAGAAAATTTTGTTTAAGAATTGATATTGCAGAATTTGGTTTTGTTGATGATTGTAATGATGGATTTGTTGATTGAATAGAATAATTTAAAAGATTATCATTAGCAAATGAACGATTAAGTTGTTCAGTTGATTTAGCTATTAAACGTGTTCCATGAAATCGAGCTGGAACAAAATTATATTTACGAATTTTATTTTGTTGATGTTCATCAACAGGTACTGATGATGAACTTGATGAAACAATAGTATTATTATGTTCAATTTTTGGTATTTGTACTTGATTTTCTGATTTTTCTTCATTTTTATTCATCATCATCATCATCAATACTGTTGAAGTATTCGGGCTCGATTGCACCGAAGTATTAATAAATTTTGATGAAGATATATTTCTAGAAAAAGAATTATTCATTAGATTTGTTTGCCTACTCTGTTGTAAAAATTTTTGTTCATTTATTTTTCTTTTCGATTTTTCATGATCATCTTCATCATCTTCATCAACATCGCCATCATGTCCATCTTCATCAGATAATCGATTCGTATTAACATAATTATTATTTCGAAGTAATGTTATATTTGTTACATTATCAATTGTTCGATAATTTTCAAATGGAAGTGTTTCAATTAATTGTTGTCCATGAGAATGAACAATTGATTGTTTTTCTAAAAATAAAAGAACAAATAAAAATATTTTTATTAAATAAAATTTTGTCAAAATAATTTACGTTTATTCTCTTTTTCATTATAACTGTTCATTGTGCCTTTATTTGTATTTTCATCAACATTTCTTAATAATGGTCGATGATACTGTTGATTTCGACCATCATTTATATTACTATTCGAAACAGTACCATAAACTATAGAAGATTGAAGATTATTAACTGTTGTTATTTGTTGACTGTTCATATTGGACGGAGTAAGTAGATTATTCACAAGAGGTACAGATAATGAAGATGCTGCTGGATGATATTGAGATGGTTCATGAGTTACACTAAATAAAAAATAGTTTTGTAAAATTTCGATCTAAGAGAAAAAATGTTAAAGTAACAAAATTTCGATCTTCTCCTTAACAGATGTTGTTGATAAACAATCAACGCTCGTAGTTCAAAGATGAAATCGCTAGATCGATCGGTTCCATTTGTACGATATATTTCAATGAACTACTTCCTAAATTGCATTTTCGAAGGATTAAGTATAAAGAAAATAATGAAGAAATCTGTCCCAAAATAGATCAAATAAAATAATCTCCTTGTGATTAACAAAAGTAACTACAACATTGTGTTTCATATTTTAATCCCATAGGGATTGTACTAAAAGCTTTTATCAATTAAATATATCTTTTGTTTTTTTTTGATTCTAACCTTTGAAGTTTTTCTTGTGCATCTTCCCATTTACCACTATGTTGATTATCACTTATCTCATCATCAACATTTTCATTAAGTGATATAACCCATTGTGATAGGACTGTTTGTGGACCAGCTTTAATTGCAAATGTTCCTGCTGGTATTGACATGGCTTCACTATCACCTCCACGTGTCATTGTTGATCGTGTTGGTACAATAATATCACTACGACTTGTTGTTGTTGTTGTTCGACCTGAACGTGGTGTTTTAGGTGGTTTACCATATTCAGTACCACCGACTGATGTTGACATGATAACTAATGGTGAAGGTGATTCATCAAGAATAGGTATATCAGAAGCTTTTAATGGATTTGATCGACTTTGTATAGCATTTTTTGCTTTAGCAGAATCTGAATGTGATCCACTAACTGGTGAATCTTCTTTGCTAATTAATTTACTTGTTGGTGTTAAAGGTTCACCAGTTGTTGATTTTGATTGATTTGAACGTCTTAAACGTTGTGATAATTCAGATATTTGAGCTGTTGTAAGAGGAGTACGTTGTTGTTGTTGTTGTTGTTGTTTTTTTGAAATAGAATTATCTTTTTCAGTTGTATTTGTCGATTGAGCAGTTGTAGTTGATCGTCGAGTATTACGATCAAGACTTTTTGGAATAGTTCGACGTACTGATTGATCAGATGTAACATTCGTTTGTTTTGGTGATTTTAAACGTTCATCAAATGCATCATTTTCTGTTGCTTGTTGACGCGTATTGTTTGTTGCACTTACACCACCTAGTTGAGTTGTTACAAGTGCTTTTGTCATTTCTCTAGAAAATTAAAAAAAAGAAAATCGAGTTTATCAGAATGTTTTTTCTTCTTCTTATGAATAACATACGCAGAAAGTTTATTATTAATATTGGATAAAACTTGTTGTTGTTGTTGTTGCTGTTGTTGAGGAGCAGGAGCTGGTGGTGGAAGTACGACATTTGTTTCATCTTCGATACCATTTGTTTCTTTTTCCCAATCGAATAAATCTAATTCTTTATAACCACGACGAGTTATCGATGTACGAAATAAATTTTGTAATAAATCATAATCAGGTTTATCTTCATAACGTAAACTTTGAACATGTTCGAGAAATTGCTTCAAAAAAGAGAAAAGAAAAACAATAAATAAATAAAAATTTATTTATTTTCTAATATTAATCTAATTAATTTACTTTAAATTCTGATGGAAGACTTTTTAAAAAAATTGTATGATCATATTTATCTTTCATTTGTCCAACTTGTTCTTTATCTTTAATTCTTCTCCATGGTAATTGTCCTGTAATAAATTCAACAAGCATATAAAATAAACTCCATAAATCATCATGTCGACCCATTTCCTTAAATATAATTATAATTACTAAATTTTTCAATTTTTATTTATATATTCTATTTTTCTAACCTTATTTTTATGTGCATTTAGTGATGCATATCGTACAGTTCCACGAAAACCTGCTTGTGGTCGAGCTGCTCTAACACTACCTTCAGCATTCGTATATTTTCTAGCAAGACCAAAATCTAACATATATACTTTTCGACATGTTGTTGGTAAACGTCCCATAGAAAAATTTGATGGTTTTACATCACGATGTAGAAAACCAATTGAATGTATATATTCAATAGATTGAAGAATTTGTAAACTAATACGTAATGATGTTGATAATGTAAAACATTGTCTTGTTTGACTACGACGTAATTCAGCTAAATTTTTTCCTTGCAATGTCATAACAACATAATTATATAATTCGTTTGTCCCACCACCAAGAAATTTACATACATGATCTTTTCCCTGTAAACGACGTAAAACAGTTACTTCCATTTTAAGAACTTGTTTAGGCTGTTTAGCCGATTCTAATTTAAGTGCTACATTCTCTTTAATGACAAGATCATATGCTTCATAGATCTGACCAAAACCACCACCACCTATTTTACTAATCTAAATGTAAAAACAAAGAATTAATCAAAAGAAAATTTTTTTTTGTTTTCTAAACAATAATAATTCAAACTTACGACTTTCCATCGATCTCGAACGATGTTGTCGGGTTGAAGAAGGTCTGCTTCGGACATGTTTAATATCACCGTACATAATGATTGAAATAATTATTTATTGTGAACAACATATGTACAGAAAGAGATCTAAAAACAAAAAACAACAACAAATTATTGTTTGAATATAGGATAAAGAAAGAAAAAGGTCGTCACTCTCTCTCTCTCTCTCTTTCTCGTCCTATTTATCACGACGAAATACTTTCGTTATGCAATCTAGCTTTTACGGTATATGTATCCCTCATCCATCAATCTTTACGAACCTCATCTTACAAGGTTTGTTATTAAATAAATGTATAAGTGCTTTTAGCGTATAAGAAGCTGATTGATATTGTCTATTTGCGAAGCATAAATTAAACATTTGTTAAAGATATATATACGCATTCGTTGACATAGTTTCTTTTTTTCTTCACCGGAAGAAAGCGAGACGCACGCAAATCGATCTTGATAATTTTTGAAGGCAAAAAATAAAAAAAAAACAGAACAGAAAGCTTATTATTTTTTATTTCTCCTATTTCTTACTAAGTGTCATTGATGATGGCAGGAAGAAACATATGCCATAACCTATCAACAGGAGACTATATAACAAGGACAAATCATCATTAAATTATCAGGAAAAAAAAAAGTCGACGAAAGAATAACGAATAGTTTGTCCGATTAAAACGTTACACCCAGTAGTAATAATGGCCAGACGAGAGTAAATGATGAATTGCGCTTATATATATATTTTTTTTCTTTACTCAATTCTTTCCTTCCTCTCTGTACATATATATGTTGTTCATCGTTTCGTTCGTTCTTCTGTCTTAGTAATGACAAACCACCCTAACGAAACTTTAAAACGTTCAGTATAACTTTCGTTTCTGTTCTTTTTGATGCTGCAAAAAAAAAATGAACAAAATTGACACAAGAACGGTTGTATTGTGTGTCGCTCAAAAGAAAAAAACAGACATAAAAATACTCGAATAATGTACAATACAATCGAAAAAAATCAACCTTGAATTTACTCTCTTCAAATAATGATTTGGTTGTTGATTTTCTTTTTTTCTTTTCACTCCTTCAACAATAGTAACCTACCATGTTTTCTTAATCAATAATTAAAAAGAGAAAAAGAGTCTTAATATACTAGAGAAAAAAACAAAAATGGAAAATTTGACTCAGTAGAAAAGACAATAATAATAACAACGAAAGACTTTAACAAACATTCTTTCCATCATCAATTTCTTCCATTGAATCTCAAATCTAATATGCTTAGCAATTGACAATAGCGCTTATGCATTATGATTCGTCAATTATTCAAACGAATAAAAAGAATTTTTCATGTTGATAATCAGCTGTTTGTTGTTGTTTATTCTGAATCTGATTCAACGAAGCAAAAATAATAAATTAATAGTATTGGAAGTCAGTTTGATTCAATAGATGATATCTTTTATATGAACTATATATATATATCATCTTTTTTATTAAAAAATATAACTGTCTCAAGAATATCGGTTTTTATATACATTAGTCACAAAAAGTCCCGCTATCAGGTGAAAAATAGCACAAAATTTTAATCACTTTGTTTCATACTTGATCTATAAATAGAATATGTTGAACTTTGATTGCAAGAATTAATCAGGACTTGATCAATCTTTCTTCTGTCATCAATACAAATTCTATGTCAAATGGTTTTAGTTTATCTGATGTATGAAATATTTCTCCTATGAGTGCCTTGTTCTACTCAAATTTCACAATTGTAGCCATAGACGGAGAAGAGATCCACATGGAAGTCGTCCCAAATAATGGAGATTTCTACGCGCCTCTAGATTATAGTGGATTGAAGCAGTTTATCTGGAACATAATATAGACACGCAAATCTTTATTTTATTTATAAGAAAATAGTGGCTAACTCACTTAAATGATGGAAAAGTTTTATTTACATCCTAGAGAAAACAACCAGTGTTTTCATTGTAAATACTTTGCATTACAGTTTGTCGAGCTCTATTTGTAGCGAAATTATCAAGCAAAAGGATTGAAATTTATGTACTTTTTAACTGGTAGCAAGATTTCTTGTGATTACTGTAAACATTGTTCTATAATAAGTGAGCATAAATTGTCAATGATATTTCAAACTTTTCTTGATGTAGAAGACTAAAATTTTTATCAGATATTTCGTCTATCACTTGTCTATTTTTTTTTAGAAAACTTCCTCCATTGTTTTGCATTTTCTTTTTCTAATTGTAATTATGTATCAATCACTTTTCAACAGGTTTTTTTCGTTTCGTACATCTGACAAAATTCCAGTTCGTCATATATCCGTAAATTTAATATAGATTCTCTATAAAGTCTCACAAAAGGTTTTCGAATTCGAGCTATCTAATTCTGTAATTGGTTTGTCGATATTATGTACTTTATTTCTCGATCAAGCTTCCTCGACGCCTAATAACCTTTGATTAAACTTGGTAGAAAATTGTAACTTTCTTAAATAACCCACACACTGAAAAAAAATGAACAATGCACTTTCGAGAAGCTAGTATCAGATCCGAATTTCTTCATGCCGACGTATATCCAAGCGGTTACCCATGAGAAATTAATGTGTTACAACAATCGCTATTTTCTTTTTCTTCCAACATATCGTACATTCCAATCAGTGTCTCAATAAATGAGCGAAATGGCAAACGTTTAAACATGTTAATAGAACAATTGTATTAAAACACAAAAATTCGGACATTTTTTTAAATACATTTCAAGGCGTTTCAATGAATGATTTGAACGACTGTGCAACACTATGTGTGTTTAACGAGTTGCCAAGTTAGATCCATTAAAACTTCTAAAGATACTACCGGATGAGATCATAAATATGCGACCCAATGAGACTACAATTTCAAAAGTGACTTAGAAAGATAGAGCATGAAATTCTGCACATTCCTTTGTAAATATTTTCTTTGTTAAATGTGAAATGAATTGCCTCCTTTAGTGCTCCTTGATTTGCATGCATTTTTCATCATTTACCCTGTAGAGAAGAGGTTGAAATCGATGAAATCCAAGAATTCCAAGTACTCTGCATATTCTAAAACCAAGGCGAAATACTTGGTATTCTAGGATTTCAAGAGTCCCGGTACATTAGTGACACTCAAGAAGCGCTGAAATGGGATGCTTTTAATAAATCTCAACGATTTCAATCTATGTTCCTTTTTTCACATTTGTATGTACTCATGATGTTGAATGATATCAAGGACTCCAAAGAGTATGTGGGTGAGACGTGGATGTGGATGGGATGTGGGCGTGTATTAAGCAGCACGGCACCCACACTCACCCCACCCCCATCACACCCACATCCACACCCCACACTCTCGAATTGAAGCTATCCTCAGAAAAATTGGCTCGATGATAAATGGAGACGATACAATGTAGTCTGTTTAAGAAAGAAGCTATTTTTGATTGAATAACTCAACTAAATAGTAAAAGATCATTACCCAAGCAGACAAAAATTTGCACAAACGTGTTTATATGCATTGTTTTTCAAATTGTAGGATAAATGCACGTTTAAACGCTCAGAAACTGGAGTTTTTCGCCGTTTTTACGCTCTGAAAGCCACAAAAATCGCCAAAAAACGTGTTTTTTTAACGAGTGTTAACGGCTCACAATCGCGGTTCTATTTCGTGCGTTTAAACGCGTTTTTCCAAATTTTTGTCTGCTTGGGTAGAATATGTGGATGCAAGTAAATTTTAAGATACCTGAACATCAAAACCTACACTTACATGCATATCTATACTCATACGCAGAACGGCAGAACTATATCAATATTTACCCATACCCACCCCGCCATCAGTGCCAATGTCGAACCGAGCCACGAAACAAATTTGTTAACCTCAGGTCTGGCCAGTTTGCGAAAAATTTTGTGTATTTCGGGACGGATCTGCAGTCTGAACATTTTGCAGATACAAAAGACACCTTTGTTGTATACATGTTATGAATTGTCTTGTGATAAATAGGCCGTCGATGAATTGATCTATCACTACTTCAGAATGTACATAATGTTCTCTTGTTTCATACAAACACGTATAGTTTGTTGCACGTGTGTTCATTATATAGAGGTTTTTTTTGTTGACGGGACCAAAACAAAGCGTTCATTGTTCAGAGTTGGAAGGTGTTTACTATATAGAGGTTTATTTATAAAAAGAGTCGATTGGAGGGATCGAGCACTCGTTCAAATAGGAGGTATTCACGCTATAGAGGTGTCCATTAATAGAGGTTCTACTGTGCTACTATCCAAGTCCCACACGAGGGTTCCAGGATTGGGGGAGTGGGGTATGAGAGGGTTTCGAGGCAACCAAAATTGACGGACACGATTTTTTCCCATCAGATCAGATAATCTTTCTCTTGCAAACAAAATATAACAATTTTTCACCAAGCGATCAATTTTTATCACTTCCTTAAAAAAATTCGACTTTCTCTGGCAAATTTTCAAGAGAATTCATGCCCAATTTGAGAAAATTTCTCAATACTTATGTCGTCGAAGGCGATCACTGGTGAAAATCGTTCTAAACTAACCTGTTACGAAGAAAGCATTGACTAAAATAGAATGTTTTTCTAAGAAAACTTCGGTTACACAATTGTTATTTTTCGTGCAGCGAAAACTTTTCAGAATCATGAAGAACTCTTCTTTTCCTTGTGTTGCTTCAAAGGAAAAGGTGTTCACATTACGTTTAGCAATTAAGCCGTCGAAGGCGGCTACTCTAGTGACGATTGCTCGAAAATGAAGCTCTTCAAAAGGAAGACAGTAGTAAACTTGCGATAAAACGGGAAAATGACAGATATTGTTGGGACCAGTATGCTCACATGATTACTTTTCGCGAAGCGAGAAGTTTTAATATCTTTTTAGAATCTTCTAGTAGAAAATTCCAAAACTTCATCGATTTTGCTGGCTAACCATGAATAACTTTCAATTATTGATAGGAGGTATACTCCCCCCCCCCCCGCCCCACACACACATTCGCTGGGCCTGCTGTTAGCACCATAGGCAAACATTCACTTATAAATCAATCTACTTGTTATACTATTTTTAATGTCAAATTATTCCTATCTATAACAAAACGATGTTTCGAATTCTACTCGTATTTCTTGTGCATATTGCCATGTGTATAACTCCAAAACGCCAATACTTCATTTGTGTCTGACTCTTTTAATGGAATCAAAGCAAAAGAATATTTCATCTATGATCAAACTGCTCAACATCTTCAATATTGAATTGAGTCGAGATATAATATTCGACGCAAGATTGACTTAATTGCTTATCCAGCAAAGAATCTTATTGGTATACTTCAAGCGAGCTTAAAGCCTCTTGTGTATGAAAGAGATGTTGCAATCTACAACAATCGTACATAGCAGTGGTTAAAGGGTGTTATTCGTGAAAATTTTAAATTACTTGGAAATAAATGAGCCATTACATGGAATGATCACTCATTGCCAGTGGAGACTGAACCATTTTCACCACTGACTACAAATATATTCGACGAACAAAACAATGATACTCTCTTGGTTACAGTTTGAATGAGAGTAAAATTATTGTTTTGGATTAAAAACTACGATATGAAAGTTTATTAAAATGCAATACTCGATGATATCTATCTGCTAAGTTTAGCTGCCTAGGATCATACTATACGTTAGAAGAATGAGTAGGATAAGACCAATTGGTATGAATCTTCATTTAAGACATTCATTTATTCTTTTTAATTCCAGTGTCTAATTATTTACAATAAACCAAATTCGAAAAGAATTGTGTTTGATTGAATATATTTAACGATTTACTTCTTGTATAGATGCCAAATATATTTTCTTCAACCGACAGAGAATACAGTTTTCTAGAGATTCTCGATTTTTAGGTTCAATACTGATAGGATATGAGATTTAAAAAAAAAACTGTTATAGTAATAGCAAATCGCTTTTAGACTGAAAATAAACATCATTAATTAACTAAATATAGTCATGGTCTCTATGTTATCTCTATATCTTTGACATGCGTGTGGGCTTGCGTTTGGGTGTCTCTTTTCGTCACTCGTCCTTGATAGCACATAAAATCTAGTGTGACAGACGTACGTTATCAGTTGCTATTGGAAAAACAGCTTTTCATATTTTTCATTTCACTGAATGACTAATCTTTTTTGTGATTCAGACGAAAGTAATGGTTATTAGGCATCAATCATGTAGGTGGTTGGATGTAAAGAATATTCACACCCACACCGTTATCTATAGACTTTTTAAAAAGAAAAAAATATCGTTTTCTTTTACTTTTTAATCATTCGTACGCTAAAAACTGTTAACTTTTTTATAATTAGTTCCTTTCTTCTTTTGCTCGTACTTTGATTCGCTTGAATGAACAAAAAATTATACATGTCATGTTTTTTCTTTACAGTTTGCTTAGAATAACAACAACATGACTAAAGTATATATCAGTCACATTCATTTCACATTACCAATCTCTTAAACAAACTATTGTTAGCTGTGAAACTCTATTCCTCATTGATATGAAAACAACAAACATTGTATGTGTCAATCAGTCAAACTTTGATTGTGATTTAGATCGTACCCAGTTTCAATATCATATGTAAAATTTTTTGAGAGTCTGTAATTTGAGTAAGTGAGATGGTTCTGAGTAATGTGCGTCTGTGCTTAATTTTTGCTAACATCTACAACCACTAAGATTTACAGACTCACCTGAACATCTGCATACGCATCCGGTCCCACGACTACATTTCACAAGATACACCTACATCAATTATTGTATCAACACTGCATACGACTAACAGATCCACATTCTAATACTTCGTTGACATTCAAAATAGCTTTGATATATGAAAACTCTATTACTATCTAGTAGGTTTTTTCTGATTGAGATAATTCTCCTTATCGGTAACAATATATTTTCTTTGACATAGATTTTTGAAAATATTATCCTTCTTCATTCTATGTATTTCATAATACTTTAACTCTATACAAATTGATTTAGTCTTGAATATATTTTATTTAAATAATAATTGATAACAATTACTAATTTAATATTTCTGTATGAGAAAAATATTCTTTTACATATTTAGGAATTCGATATTTACCAAGCAAACTCAAACGATGCAATTTTTCGCCATTGATTCGTGTAGCATCTTTTGTAAATTTTTCTGTTACTCTTCTCAGTGCTTGGTAAATGACAACAAGATTAACATTATTTGACAAACGCGTTTTGGTATCAAGTAGAAATAGTTCGATATAATCTAAATGAGCTTCAGTAAGATCAAGTTTGATAAGATGAGGATATTCAATAATTGGTAAAACTTGATTGTCATCTTCTGAATTTTTGCATTGTTTATCATTTTGAGGCTTCATATTTTCTAAAATTAATTTTTTCACAAATGGAAATGATTGAGCAATTCGAAGAAAAAATTCATGTTCAAAAGGTCGTTCATCATATAATGATATTTTAGAAACACATTTAAATACTCCACCTGGAAAATTATTAGTTATTTTATTATATTCGCTAAGTGTATAAGGATATGAATAAATATGACATCGACCTTGTTGAGTATCGGAAAAGTAATCAACATAAGAAATAATATGATTATGATGAAAATCTTCGAATGTATATTGAATATCTTCATTCGATGGTAAATTCATATGATGAAGAAGATCAATAGTTGAACGAATATAAAATTGAAATTTTTTTAATCGTGACATATTATTGATAATATTTTTTTTCAAATCATTACCATCCACAAATGTTTTCTTGTCACAAATTTTAACATATAAATCAAGTTCTTCTAAATCGATCATTCGATATAAAAGTGGAACAATTAATTCATCATAAGCACTTGTCTCTATGTTGGAATATAACGAGAAGCATTTTAAATTAAGTAAATTTTCCTAGAAAAGAGAAAAAAATTTCATTTCTTGTAAATGAATTAGATATCCATTAAAACAATTTACCGTATTATCGATTGTTAGCTCTGCAGAGTGTATGTCAGAAACATTAACATGAAGTGTACGAAGTTGATTGAATCGCCCATCAAGTAAATAAAGACAATCATCGAAATTATTTACAGTGACATGCAGTTCTAAGACAGTTGAAGAGACTAAATTTTCAATTAAACAATCAAACGATATATTTGAATACCAAATTGAAGATGGACAGAAATTCAAATATTGTAGATTGGTGAACAAGTTAATGATATGTTGAAATATAATTGTATTCCTAAAGTCTCTATCATCTTGCTTTTTATTCACATTCATATTGAAAGTAAGTGATAAAATTTGATTTTTAAATAGATCAATTAATGCATTTTCGCCTAAACATAAATACAAAGGTAATGAGTAATAAACTAATTTATTGTATTTTTTTTAATATGAATCCAAAAATATACAAATTCATTCTCATTGGAAATCAGCGTAAAACGTCTGTTGCGTAGTTTATAAGCAATGAAAAAAGCTACTGACCCACATTAGCAACAATGTTTAGACTATTCTAGAACATTTCTAAGATGATAATCAGTAATTAATGTATAAACTTGCCAGCTATCATACAATAAATATAAATTAATTAAATTTTATACAAAAACACTCATAAAACTAAAGATATGAATTTCACATGTTACACTCAAAGAAACTCCGATGAGAAATTTTTTTTCTATATACTTCTCATTTGTTCTGAAGTAAAACCATTGAAATAATATATATCTTACCAAAAAAGCAACGTCGAAATGTTCTCAAATCAATATTATATAAACTAAGTTCATATAAAATAGGATAGTTTGTAGCAAGAAGGATACGTTCCATAGATGATGATTCAAGATCAAGGCGTTTGATTTTATAGTTAATTTTGCGTAAAATTTGTAAACAAAATCGATCAAGTATTGCATCAGTTAACGAATTTATGGAGTCATCCGAGGAATGTTCCAGTAAGATCAAGTGATTAGTAAAAATTGGATCATATACAATTGTATTAAGTCGTTGATTAACATCTATTAAAGAATAGAGTACATCAGTTTTGCACATATTTTTAAAAATCATCATAAAAATCTCATCAGGTAAATCATCCAATTGAATCATTGAATTTGCCATATTTCTTTTCACTTCTGTATGTGATTTTGTAACTCAGAAATGCTATTATTTATATGGACATATTTCTTTCATTTAATTGACCGATATCGTCAACGAAAACAAAGATACATTTTTCTATAATCGAAATTGACTATCAATGATTGAGCAAATGAATCTAAAGATGGTACTTTCTTTCTTTATTTATTTGCGTTCAACCAATGTTCTATGAGAAAATGAGTATTGATAGAATATTTTATAATAAAATGGGCATTTATTTTTTTCAATTTAGTACCATGTAAAAAAATACGAAGAAAATCTGATTATAATCGATTATTAGATTGTTAATCCATTTTTGATCATCGTAGGTAAAATGGATTCAAAATAAAATAAAAATTCGATTAACATCTGTTGCTTAAATTAACGACATACAAAGAGAATAACGATTTATAAATTACATAAATGAATGTTCGAACTTCTGTTTAACAATAAAGCTTATTTCTTTTATTATAATATTTTCGATCAATTTTCGTAGACCTATTTCATATGATAGATATTGACAGAATCTATTTATTTATATTGTACTAGACATAATGAAATGATTTTGTGTTTAATGGAATTTACTTTTTGAAAAAACGAAAATCATTTTATGTAAATAAGATGATACTTGAGAACAGTATTGATAGTAATTTTGTATATTTTAAGTCAGATTTAATTGTTTGTACAGCTAGAAAAAATAAGGTGTGGGTGAGTGTAGGTATGTGAATCTTCATTTCATTCGTAGCCACACATCCTATGATAGCAATAATAATTTATTTCGAAATTAGTAAAGACAATTCTTTTATCGTAGGTGACATTTTATTTAGAAGAAACATATGTTCATAATATTAGTTTATCAATGACAATAAGTTTATACTGTTTTAGAAGCAAAAGTACTCATGGTAATATTAAGAACATGCGTACGAGTTTTAGATATACCCGTTTAACCCTTTGAGGCTCAGTGGGATATATATTTCCCACTTTGAGAATTTTGAAATCTTCGAGTTTTCGAGAATCTTGGAGAAATATTTTCAATATATGTTAGAAACTAGCAGAGATCCGTACAAGATTGATTGGATAATAGAGTGTATAGATGACATTGAAAAACGCACCTTGCGAAGTTTTGACCCCAGGGGGGGGGGGGGGGGNTCGATGGTTTTCGAGCGGTCGAAATAGGTCCGAGTAGTCGAAAATAAATGTCCGATAGGAATATGCTTCCGAGCACTCGAGACTCCGTAGGCATCGAGGGGCTCGAAATTCGAACAGAACGAGAAAAAAACAAATATATTCAAGTTTCGACCACTCGTCGCACCCATCGTTGGCTTCTCATGGTCTGCTTGGGATGTATGAACATATATTGAACATTGAACATCTCCAATTATATCATAGAAAATATATTTTCTGAATATTAATATAAAAAAAGAAATTATTTGTCTCTCATAAATATTTTTTTTAATATAATATTTGCACTTTTCATAGATTGAATATATATCATGTTATTTCGTGTACTAATATTACAAGAGATATCACTATCAAACAGAATGTATTCTTTACGAGGAAGAATTACATTAAATCAAACCAATAAAGGTTTATTCAATTTTTTTATTTTACTGTTGGTTATAAGGGGGGAAAAGCTGAGAACTGAGGTTTTTCAGTGATTTGATAATTTTGAGAAATATTATTCATAAAATAGCATTTTCTCAGTAGAGCTAGTGTGCATATCAAAGCTCCTAATGGGCTGGGCCAAGCCCAGCTCAGCCCAACCAATGGGTCAAAATTCTTTTGAAGCAAACCATGAGCTGGACTGATTCGATGGGCACCCATGTAAAAAAAAACTGAAAAAATGTGATTTTCATTAATTTTTTCTGATTAAAAAACGATGAAAGTGACACTGTCTTAATCGGATTTTAAACGGATAATTAACTCTGACCAGAATAACAAAACGAATTATCTTTGACTAATATTTTTAACTAGACAGAGAGCCGATGGGCGAGCCATTTTTGAAGGAAAAACCATGGGCTGGACTGGGCCGACTTTGATGGGCCCAGCCCAGTCCATTAGGAGCTCTGATGCATATGCTGTTAAATACTTTTTCCTTTTTTAATTTAATCATAGTACCCTCAGAAAAATAGTCAGTGATGAGTCATTTATGCTGTTTTATTAATCACCTTACTATGTGTTAATATCTTCCTAAGTAGTCAGAGTTAGTTGTAGCAGTTCTGTAAGCCAAAACTGTGTCTCTAGCATATACAGCGAATATTTATAAGAGTACTTAGGGTTGACCAAAAGTTATGATAACATTAAATAAAAATATAAAGATAAGGTGATATTATTAATTTTATTTTATCAAATGTTCAGGATAGTTGCCATTATTATTTATACCAAGTTCGATCCTTTCTAAGATTTTGTTAAAAATTTTTTTGAACTCTTTTCTAAAATTGTTTTAGCTGTCTAGGAAGCCGGATAAGCACTTCCTCTTTCATTTATTTAATCAGTTAAACTACGTTTGATAGAATTACTTAGCCAAAGATTACGTAGTGTCAGGTCGAATGAATATGGTGGATGTAATATTATATTGATGTTTTCTTCTGTTAAATAATTAATAAAATCAGATGAGTATGAAGTCAACGATGATCGTCAAGCAATTTTGTACATTTTGAACTTCATGTCTCTGTTTATTTTCATATTTCACCAGCAAAAAGCTTCGGACGATTTTCAATATAATAATTGTGACTTACAGTTTTGCTTTTATCTGCACTCAGTACTATTTGATTTAAAGAGTATATCAAATAAAGTTTTGGTTCAAATCTGTCTTCATGAACAATAGTCTGTAATGATTCATCTTCAATAAGCCATCTAGAATCAGATGACTTATGACTACCCTATCTAAAATAAATCCATATCTCATCACTAGTACTACTAAAAGACAACTGATATAATCTAACAAAATCTCGCTAAATGTTAATCAGTTGTTTGCTGCTGTTTATTAAAAAACACTTTAGATGGTGCACATTATGATATGAGAAATTATGTTCTGAATCTGACTCAACCAAGAAAAAATAATAAATTAATAGTATTGGAAATCAGTCTGATTCAATAGAGGGTATCTTTTATGAATGTAATGCTCTTCGCCGAAAACAAGATCGTCGAAAACTCACATCGCCGACTCGACGTGGAAATTCACCGTAAATTTCCACGTCGAGTCGGCGATGTGAGTTTTCGATGATCTTGTTTTCGGCGAAGAGCATACTTACCATCTTTTATATGTACTATATATATCATATTCTTTATTAAAAAAAATAACTATCTCTAGATTCTCGGTTTTTATATACATTAGTCACAAAAAGTCTCGCTATCAGACGAAAAGTAGCACAACATTTTAATCCTTTAGTTTCATACTTTGACTTTAAATAGAGTATGTTGAACTTTGATTGCAAGGACTAATTAGGTTTTGATCGATCTTACTTCTATCACCAATAAAAATTCCATGTTAAACGATTTTAGTTTGCCTGATGCATGAAATATTTCTCCAATAAGTGCCTTGCTCTACTCAAATTTCACAATTGTAGCCGTAGATGGAGAAGACATCCACGTGAAAGCTGTCCCAGATAATGGAAACTTCCCTGCACCTCACGATTACAGTAGATTGAAGCAGTCTATCTGCAACATAATATAGACGCGCAAACCTTTCTTTTATTAATAAGAAAATGGTAGCTAACTCACTTAAATGATGGAAAAGTTTTATTTACATTTTAGGGAAAACAACCAGTGTTTTCATCGTAAATACTTTGCATTACAGTTTGTCGAGCTCTATTTGTAGCCAAAATATCAAGCAAAAGGATTGAAATTTATGCACTTTTTAGCTGATAGCAAGATTTCTTGTGATTACTGTAAACATTGTTCTATAATAAGTGAGCATAAATTGTCAATGATATTTCAAACTTTTCTTGATGTAGAAGACTAAAATTTTTATCAGATATTTCGTCTATCACTTGTCTATTTTTTTTTAGAAAACTTCCTCCATTGTTTTGCATTTTCTTTTTCTAATTGTAATTATGTATCAATCACTTTTCAACAGGTTTTTTTCGTTTGGTACATCTAACAAATTTTCAGTTCTTCATATATCAGCAAATTTAATATCGTTGTCTATTGATTGTATTCGTTCATTAAATAATTGTACTATGAATCATGCGATCAATACATCATGTTATTTTGATAAGACTTAAATTCAATACAAACCATTTACAATCTTTCTTTTTTTGGTAACTGATGAAAATTTAAAATAAAATTATCTCATTAAATCTAAAAGATTTTAGATAGAATAAATGCATTCTTATATAGTTAAAATCATTCTTAGTTGCTTTGTCGCAATTAACTACGTAGTAAAAATATTACAAAAATGTAAAACAACCATTCATATATGTTAATCTTGTCAATGCCTTTCAATAGTATCTTTTGTCAGAGAGCTTAAACTTTGGAAAATTAAAAATATTGGTTAGACACATATGTCAGGCAAAATTAAACATAGGTTTTTTTAAAGCTAAAATTAAAAAACAGAAAAAACGATGAAAATGGAACTGATCTAATATATTAAGTGAGGTTAAAATTAAATTGAAATTGATAAAATTTAGGAGGATGTAAAGTTCACTGCTGTATTCTATTAAAATTTAATTGATTTTAGGAATTTTTAGAATTCATCAGTATATTCTGTTGAAATGTGGTTGAGTTTTGAAAGGCAAGAAATTTGAAAAATTAGATGATATATATTGTTTGAATAGAAGTCAATTTTGAATCTTTCAATGAAGTTATTGATATTTTTTCACTCTTTTAATAATTTATTGTCGTAGATTTTTTCATATCAACTATTTGTTTTGATTCTGATCTTTAGTAACCAGATCTGTTTATTCATAGAAAGTTCGATAAATAGATTTAGGTGGACATTGTGTTACAACTCAATATAAAATACTATCAGCAATAACTTTGATAAACATTAATGTCTCGTAACGTCATTTATATATGACCTCTGTAAGAATAGTGAATAGCATTTAATGAATCCCATAGATGATTCAATAATCAATCAGTGATACGCCTAAAACATGTTGCTATGAATTAATAGAGTTCTCTTGTTGATAAATAGCACAATATCTGCATCTAAACTTTGATCATTTAATCGAAAAATAGTTTATTCTAGTTACGGCTAGCAGAAAATGCTCACCCGATCAAAAAAAGAAAAAAAGAAGGAGAATTACGGTTATGTTTATTTCAATCCTTTTTCACATCTATGCCCATATACTTCAAGGGTAATGTTGTTTATTCTATATGTTTAGAATTTTAATATAAAAGATAGATGTTTAAATGTTCAAACACGAACTTATATAATAATATTGGTTTTTGTAATATTTTCTTTTTCGACATGAAAGACAAAATTTTATAAAGATTTTTAAAAGACGTCGATTATACTTCTTATAGTTCATTGATAAACTGTCTAGGCATCTGTCGCATTGCGTATCAGTCGTTTGGCCGAAAAAGAAAATTTGTCAACGAATAACTTTTTAATCACTTATGACACCGAAGAAAAAATTGTAGCTGTTTAATGAAACATTCAGCTTGTCCTGTATTCTAACTGATATATTTCGAGCAACGGTTAAAAAAAAACAAAAATTCGTCAACTAATACCCTTTTGATCTGTAACAATATTGAAGAAATAAGCATAGCTGTTCTATGATTGCTTAGCCAGCAATTTATTGTAACTCATCTATTTCCAACAAGGGCCGAAGAAAAAAAGAAAATTCATAAATTAATAATCTTTTAATGCCTAACGACACCAAAGAAATAATCGTAATGTTTTTAATAAATACTCCGGTGCTCATTCATTCTAATTGTTTTTTCCGAGCAAGGATTATTTCAAGTATCGATACGTCTTTTACTTGTTTATAATAAGTTATCAAATCGATTAAGATATGTATGAAAATGTTTATATAGGTACGATGATTTTTATATAACGGTAGACTTTCAATTGCTGATTACAATAAGAAGTCTAATACGAAATTTTGTTAGAAGTGAATTAGATATTTCAATCATATAATATCTGTATACATTTTTTTCCAAATAGCTAGTTACATGAAATACTGCTATAAAGAAAAAGTTGTTACGAAACGATCAGCTACGCAATCATTAAGTAGCTGTACATTATTCGAAAAAGTATCTCTTTTGAGAAGCTACAGTTTTAACATTAGTACGTTTCTGAATAACCTTCATCGCTTCATATACTAACATCGGTTAATCAATTTGAGCATTACATAGTAACATTTTCAAGTCTAGTATTTTGTACGACAAAAGAAATGCAACACCAAGATGTAAAACGTGAATCAAAATCTATAAAACATTTATTCGTAAGGTGACGAAGAATAATCTTTTCATTCATGATTTTCATGATTACTATCTTTTATTGAAATTTGCTATTTAGAGATTTAAGATGTTTATTTGTTTGTTTATAAAATTGATTTCGAAATTCAACTTCTGATGTTGAATCAGAAATCATCACTGTACTTATGATACGATTAAATATGTGAAAATGAATGTTTTGCTTTTTTATTTAAAGTTTATGTAAACAAATAGTTTTTTTTTCTATTGATAGTTAGAACAATAATCAATAAAAATATTTCGCTGTTTCGCGCCTACTAATGAACAATTGCCTCAGGTTAAACAATATAAAATTATATAATCTATCGATTGCTATTGTATGATATTATTTTTTTAGGGTTATGAAACAACAGTAGGGTTTAAAGGTAGTCTTTGTCAGGTGGTGAAAAACAACGTATTGCTATTCCTCAAGTTCTTCTTCGTCGACCTAAAGTATTGCTCTTGGATGAAGCTACAAGTGCCATGGATTCACATAATGAACAAATGAGCTATTTTTTTCTCTATTTATCGATAAAAAATTCATCTTCATTTTTCAATTATAGCTTCTAGAATAAGTTCTTGAACAAGCCCAAACAGAAGATTCTAATCAAACATCATTGTTTATTGCTCATCGTCTTTGAACTATTCGTTTATGTAATTTTATTTGTATACTTGATTGGGGACATATTGTAGAAAGTGGTACACATACAGAATTGACACGATGACAAGGTGCTTATTATAAAATGCTTGCTGGAAACAATTTACAATGATAATCAGTGCACCATTATAAAAGTGAAAATATACTCTGTGCAATATTAAGAGAAACTTTACCTAAAATACCTGATACATGCTATACTTACATGTTCAATTTACTGTACAATTATTATCATTGATAGAAAGTTGAATGTTTATCAAATTACAGATTATTATATCGATTGTTTTAACTTATTAGATATATCTGAAGATAGTAAACACACTGATGATCTCAATAACTACATAGGATTTAACTAATTCAAACAAAAACAATCAAACATAAAAATACTAGCGTTATATTTTTGAATGTGCCGAAAATGGATTAAACGTCGACGATTTTATCGTTATTCATTAGTTCGATTAAATGAAATCATTCGAAAAGACAGTTTCTTCAATTTCTTCTCGGTTTTTATTCAAACTCGCAGTTTTGTAATGACTTTTCATGACTCATAATCTATATTCTATTCACCGGTAACGATACCAATAAGAGAAAAATTCAAGCAGTTACAACTCTGGTACCATTACATCGTCATAGAGTTTTTCTCACTATTTTTATTGCTAATATACAACAAGATAGAGCGTGAAAAGCTCTACAATTTACAAAGGACAGCTTATTTTATAATTGCAATTTTTGTTTTCAAAATAAAGAAAATTCTGAACTACTAGTTTTTGACGATTCGAAAAAATAATTTTTTGGTTTACGATGAGTTCATTTTTTTCTTATTTCATGAGAGTTAACTAACTATTATGACTTCGAAAATAAATGAAAAAAACGGCTTTCATGCTAAAAAATAAAGAGAAAAAGTTTTTTGAAATCATCGCACTCTTGTCGAAGCAACAAAAAAAGCAACAGATAAATTTTATATAAATTAACTGTAATGTTAATGCAAAAGCATCAGTATTTTTTAAACGACGCTAACACAACACCCATACGTTAAAGTGTTCAACTCGCCAAAACATCTTTTGTCCGTGTAACTGATGCTTTATCTCAGGGTAGCGGCGTGGGAACACGAAGCGCCCCCTGAAGAGCCGCGACTCATGTTCGTCTCTGTGTACACAATGATGGGTATAGTTCCCATTGCCACAACAATTTGAATGCAAATAAAAATTTTATTTTTTTTATTATTTCTGCATGTAAGACGTCTTTTTAAAATTTTTCATTTATATTCGAACTCGAATTACGTATTTACTCTATAGAATGAGCTGTTCTTTGTAAATTTCAAATCTTTTCACGCTGTATTTTGTGCTGTATTTTGTTTTTCTAACACAGCATATTAGTTGATGAGAAAAAGGAATTTCTTTTGGTCTGAAGGAGTATGTTGTTGAAAAATGAATGAATCATGTATGCATAGGCTGACATTTACATCGTTCTTTATAATCCGTGTGCAAGGGATGAGCGAAAGCGTCGCTTAACTTTATTAATCATCGAGCAGTTGCCCATGCATATTGACACAGTGAAGTACAATAGATGTTTTTATATGCAGCAGAGAACAAAGAAAAAACAAGTGCGACATACCTGTAGAGAAAAAGAATTCGAGCCTCTTTTGACTGTCAATAAAACGTATTTCAGCAGACAGCAACAACTGCAAAATGGCTGCATCACATCCTGCACGTCTCAAGGGTATTCTATCAGTAACTGTACTAAAAGCTAACAATTTAATCAAAGGTGATTTATTTGGCCAGAATGATTGTTATGCAGTGATTTCACTTGAAGATCTTCCCTTAAACGCAAAAATGGAGGCTGGAGATAAGTCACAACAAACAGAAACATGCCAGCAGACGCAGATTCACGATGGTTGTGATCCCATTTTCAATGAAAAAATTTTATTTCCTATAACAAAGGAATTAAATACGCTGCACATTCAACTATGGGATTCAGATATTGGAAATGACGATCTTTTAGCTCATGGAACATTTAGTTTCTCAGACAATAATCAAGGCGGTCAATTTAATATGAATACGAACAAAGAATGGCTTCATACCGTAACTATTTCCATGGCCAATAGAAAACGTGGACATGGTGGTACACTAGAACTTGTTCTTCATTTTATTCCAGAGACAATCGGTGTCTATATCGGCAAAAAATTCAATGCTGCTCAAGCAGAGGTGAAGAAGAAATTGACACAACAGATAGTAGGAAAAATGACCAACGTGGCTTCAGACAAAATTCGAGGATACGTTGGCATCAGTGATTGACATGGCTTCGATTTTAGTTGATCAACCGTTATAAACAACTTATAACAAAAAACACAAACTCACTTTTTACTATCAAGATTAGAGAAAATAAAATTCACTTGATTGCAAATGAGACATATATTCTTGTCGGCTATTCAATGTATTGTAAAACAAAGAAAACAAAAAAAAAATCTCTTTCTAGTCAGTTAGAACTATGATATTAACTGTTCAATAGCCAAATTTTCCCTACAGAGTGTAAACAATGTGATTCAGTTGTCAGCAGTCGATTGTGCTTCATTGGCAATCACGTATTCAAGACAATTTGCATTCATTGAAGCAACAATGTAGTATGAAAATATTATCATAACGACCATCAGAAAAAAATCTTTGTGCATGAAGAATAACCATCTTGAAAAATGTTTTCGCAAATCATATACAGTTAACTAGTTTTAATCATAAATAATTGATTACGGATCGACTGTAATCAAACAATAACATAACAAAAATGAAAGAACGCGACAGTAAATAATTTATTTATTTAAGAACAAAGAAAAGAGAACAGTACATAGTAATCCATTTGATCAGTTTCTCAACCAATGAAAAAACAAAAATTGACCACACTGTTGACAATCCTTAACGAGAAAATCTTAGAGAGCGCACAAAACAATTTGCAGTTATTTTGACTATAGTATACAAATATCTTACATTTCTGTTCGTGCGTCTCTATATTTATAATTTCTGAAGGTCTACAACACAGGAAAAAAAAACTAAAGACAGTAATAGATGGAGTGTTAGGCACAAACAAAACTAACAATATAAGCGACAAGACATATATCCATGTGTTCTACTACATTTATTATCTTCTTAGAATTATAGAAGATGTGTCTGCATACAAAAGTAAAATAGAATAAACTTAATTTCTCGTGAATCTATGTAAAGAGTTTTGAATTGACCTTTATATCTTGATCTTCAATATAGGTTTTAACTTATTCGTCGGCTTTACAGTTAAATTGGATATTAGTGAAACGGTGAGAGGAAGTCAGTGATTTATTATCACCGTTGTATTCCTATGATATCTACTTGACAGCGCTTCTCTTTCACGAAAAAAGTTTTGAAATATATCAAGAAAAACTTTCTCCAAATTATGCTCAATTTTTCACATATATATATATACTATAACAGCATACGAACTATTCTATTTATTTTGAAATGATTGACAAGCAGTTTTTCTTCACTAGGGACACAAGTAAATATCATGATTCTTATATCAATTTATTTCTCTAATACTGCTGATATTATTATGATATATATATATATATGAGATAGAACTCTATTGAAAACACTCATCAAACGAGTACAACTTGCTAGTATGAATACTCAAATTAATCACGCAAGTACTCGAGTAATTTTATATTGATGAATACTGTTCATGTATTTTGGCGAGTTTTTCTCTATAGGCTTGCTCAAATGCAATGGCGTAAATAGTCAATGTAGTAATAGTTATGTTGTTTTTTTGTCGCACAATACTTAGCAAAACATTTATGTATTTGCATATACAAATTATCTTGTTTATCCTCTATTCTTGGCTAATGAAGTTTAAATATGTTAACCAAAATTCCTTCACAGTTGATTTTCTACATTTTTGATTGAAAAAATTCTATATTACAATACAGATTTTCATATTAATGGTAAAATGCGGTGAAAAAAAAAAAGAAACAATTCGATTGCAATTTAAAACTATGAATACACATCTGAGTAATACTATAGACAAAAATAAATTATTTTTTTTTTTCGTTTTGCTTTATAAATGACTAAAAGACTACAGAACGTAATGAGTTTTAAAATGTCTATTTGACATTTTTGTATAGTAATTAATACTGCATGTTTATTTATAAATCAGATTTCTTTATCTCACCGAATTGATCTATTTTTATTTTCCTCTATTTCACTGTGATCAATATGTTGTTTAGTGTATTCTCTTGTTTGATGAGGTGGAAATAAAGAAATCTACATTGTTAATAAAGAAGGTTAGATATTGCTTTATTTTAGTATCATCAAAATAAGATTTTATTTATATTTACAAGATCATCAAAAAAGAATAAAGTTTTGAAAAACATAAAAACTTCTTATTAGAATAAATTCATAATAGATATGGATTTGTAAGATAGAAATGATTGCTCATTATACGAAATTAATGATCATACAACTGTCCTATTCTTTGTCCATTGTATATTTTCTTAAAAATAAATTTTCTTGTTTTTCAAAATTTTATCTTTTTTTCTTATATAAAAAATATAGAAATATTTCACATTGCTTTCTATAACGATGAAGAAAAAAAAAAGTGTTTATATTCTGTGAATCAACAATAATTATCAAACAGTAATATACAAGTATCAAAAATTACCATCAATCATATTGTTAATAAGGTCGAAAAACAGTACCAATATCATGTTTATTAAATAATAATAAAAAAACAAAAAAAAATTTTTATAGTCAGTGTCATACAGTAATAATTGCAATTGTTCATTGTATGATGTCGTATACTAATTAGTATAGAAAACCGTCCGAAAATTTCATTAATGACCGCAATGTGTTATTATAGTGTTGATACTAGGTTTCATATTATTCATCGTGTTATTCATGCAGAGTGTTGTAAGAAAACACCGGTACATCGATTATATCCAGCTGTTATTGAAAAGAAATGATCCAGGGCTTGACATATGTATCGTCGATTATGTAATGAGAGATATAAAAATGATGTAACTAATGACAATATTTGATTTTACCTTGATGAAAGCCAAGGTGTTACAGATATATATATACATATATTATATTAGCAGTTATGGATCACTAGCAGAAGTTGGAAAAATCGAACAAAATCATGTACACTCTGTGGCTGTGCTGATTTGGAACGATGTAAGTAGACATGGTAAGACTCATTTACATTTTATTGAACATAACTTCAGCAATTACATTCAGATATTGCCATGAACATGTAAGAAAACCGTTTATCAAATATCATATTCCTCGTTTGTTTATTCGTGATACATGAAAGAAAATGATATTTTCATCCAAATAATGCGTCTGGCCATACACCATAAGAGACAATTAATTACATGAAAACACATAACACCGAAGTTATAACATGAGACGATTGGTTAACCAATAGATTCAGATGTTATTCCAACAGACTATGCAATTTGGAGAATTATTGAAGACCGACTAGGAAAAAACAACAAAGTATTAATATCGAAATAGATTGAAAAATTTTATTAAATAGGATTGGAAGAATTTTGAGCAGAATATAATCGACCAAAGCTTTATTGATTATGGTTATGAATCCTAAATTGACTATCTACTAGTATAACTATTCAAAGAAAAAATAGTAAATAGTTTTCTATTTGGTTGCAAAAATAAACGACATGACCTATAAGCTATAGCGTATGAGAGCATGAGCAAGTACGCGAAAATATTTTCATTTCATGAGCATGTCGTTAATATTGCTCATTATTCACTTCCTGATAATTATTCTACCTTTCAGTTATATAAAAATAAATCTCAGCTATGAAAAAGGAAAATTATAATTTATCTCTAGTGAAGCATAAATATCAGAATATATAACAGGAAACACTTTGCTATTTTCGTCTTCCAGTTTATTGATTATAATTAAAATTGAGTGTTAGGTACATTTCTTCTGTATTTAGACATTCTTATTGCCTGTAGGGTTGAGTATGAAAACTAATCTATAGATTTGACTTAAACCTAAATGTTTATATAAATAGTTTTTTACCGTTATAAGCTGTTTCAATTGAAAATTGATATGTAATTCTGTTTTTGTATGTTAGTGGTCTTATGATGTATTATTACTGTCTAGAATAATGAATTTTCATAAGTATATTGATTGCTGAATAAAAATTTCTTCAAAAATATGTTTTAATTTTGCTAATTATATTCGTATTTATTAATCTAGGTGTTTCTATTTCATTAATGATTTCAATACCTGAAAGTCGACAAACATATTCTGATATTATATTTACAAAGTATACATTATTCACTTCACTAACAAAAGACTTTATCAATCATAAGATCGTTATCAGTTGTTTTCCTGTTCTTTGTAAATCATTTGTCAATAAACAATGATTGATTGTTATCACAAATAGTTCGGATCAATAAAAGGTCTATGTTTTTCTAAAGTATCATATATAAATTAACCATTAATTGAGACCTTCACAAGTTAAATAACAATACGTATAAAGTATTTTCCCGAAAATATTTTTTTGGCATTGATCTCTTAATCTTTCTTTTCAACTTCTTGTCTTTCATCAACAAGTTTTGACGTCATATATGACATCGAGAAAAAAAGAAAGATAAATTCGCTTTTAATAGTTGAGATTATTATTCACGAGTTCTTCTTGTTTATATTTAGAATGTACTGCAAAAATAAAAGAATATCTATCTTTTTCTTTTCTTTTTTCTTGCATATTATCTCGTGATTGTTGATTAGTTATGTTTTAATGAACAGAATCAAGAAGATTAAGTTAATAATACACCTGCATGAGATTTGTGATTTTGACTAATTTTCATGGATTTATGAAGAAAACGTTTCCTTGTTTTTGACTATATGAATATTAATTATGCATAACAAGATCAATATTAATGAAAAATATAATTCATGTTTGAAAACTATTAATCCTATTTTCGAGATTAAAATGAATGATAAACAAAAAATAGTAATTTCTAAGAGACTCTCGTGACTATTCTATTACAATCACTTGTCACATTAGGACAAAAACATAATACAAAGTAAAATTGTCCATGTTTATTCGTTAATATGATAAATAAAAGACAAACATAAATGACATTCGGATAATTCTCATGAGATATAAACCTATATACAAAAGTGATTTCTTTATACACAATAGAGAACTAATGATTGTCATAAATCCATAGTATATGCATATATAAATTTATCATTTATCTTTTCAATTAGTCTCATTGTAATAATAGTTTTTCATTTATCTTCAATGGGGTTAGATATGTCCGATTATACTTGAAGGCAATAAAAGCGACGAGTAGCACATAAACATTGAATCCATCCTAAAAATAACTTCAACTGAAGTCTGTTGTCAATTACAATGTGCATCCACTCATATAGATACAATTAGCAAAGAAAAAAAAACGACGAATGGATAGATATGATCTCAATTAATACTATTAATGACAACATCGATGTTAAAACAGTGGAAGAAAAATGATCTGGATCTTAGTATTTCTCTGTTTGATAAAGGTTGCCATTCCATCATAAACAAGAACGATGTACTTGATGGATATTTGAAAGGACGAACAGTCGTATAAATAGATGTCAAAAAGATTGTTAAAGAAGAGGAACTAGTTTTGTTCTGTCTGTCTTCAAACATCAACATCAAAAGCAGTCGTAGTCGATATATCTCTAGAATAATTTTTTTGTCTCTACATATTCATAGAAAGAAGCAAAAAGAAAACGAGAACTTCCGACAAACAGGATACCAATAGTTAAGCAACAGCGAGTATTATTCATTCATCTGACATACCACTCAACACGCATATATACATGAATACCGACTAGGAAAAGACAAAGAAAAAAAAAAAAGAAGAAGAAATATGCGGAAGGAAAAATTAGTTAATATATGATGATGATAGTTCGATGACGTCGATGCCGTGCCTTGTACATAGAAAGAAGAGTGCAAGACTTCTTTTTTTTTCTTCTTCTCTCTATCCGGTTTGTCGTTCTCATCATTCGTTCGTTGTGATGACGTAAGTCAATGTGTTGATATGAAGAAGCATGACGACGCGACGACGATAACAACAAGCAATAGTAGTAGAATCTCTAGCATCACGACTATTTCGCGGTCTCATCAGTGCACATAAAAGGGAATAGAACAAAGCCATTTTTTTTTTACGTAATTGATCATTCCCACATGTCGACGATCATTACAAATCGATGACTCAATCAATGCATGATCTGCGGTTAGCGCTGCGTGACAGCACTAAAAAATTAGAAGATGCAGAAAATACAATAAATAAATTACGTACTGATTGTGAAAATCAATTGCAAAAAAAAGATGAAGTTATTTCAATGAAAGAATCCATTATCAAAGAAAAAGATGCATATATATTAAAACTTGAACAAGAAATTTTAAAATATGATTCAACATTTATATCATCAACTGATTTTAATGATGGAATTGATATTTCAACTTCCGCAAGAACATCGTTACTTGATGTCCCTTCAACAACAAAACATCAACGTACGAAACGTACAGCTATTAGTGCAGAACCAGTTCAACATAAAAAAACCAAAGATTTACGTGTTGTTCTTCAAACATGTGATAAATCCGATCGGTAAGACATATATATATATTTTTAATTCAATAGAATCGAATACATAGTAGTAGACACATTAATGACATAAAGAAAAAGAATTCTACTGCTCGATTGAATAGTTAAGTAGATAGATAAATGTAGATAATAAACAGAAATATATCAATATATACTGAAAACAAAGATCCAGATGTTTCTACCGTAATTCAAGAACTTAATATATGTATTCATTATTATTTGCACAAGTATTATTGAAAATAATTGAAGGTTTATTAAACAAATAATGATATAGCTTTAATGAAATTTAATATTGTATTAAATGTTAACTAAGTTGATTCTTATTTTTATCTTTCTTTCATCATAGAACAAAAGAATTTTTACGCGATGCCATATTAAATAATGATTTTATGAAAAATCTTCAAATGGATCAAATTATGTCCATTGTTGATTGTATGTATCCACTTGAACATACAGATGATAATTTAATAATTAAAGAAGGTGATGTTGGAAATCTTGTTTATATCATGGAAGGTAATAAATCAAAAAGTAAAAAAAAAAAATTTAATTTATCAAACTTTTTGGAATTATAGAGGGAATGGTTGAAGTAAGTAAACATAATAAAGTATTGACAACAATTGGTCCAGGACGAGTGTTTGGTGAATTAGCTATTTTATATAATTGTACTCGAACTGCTTCGATTAAAGGTAAAAGAAAAAAAAAAAAACTAGTAATAAATGAAGTTGATTGATCAAGGTTTAATTGTTTTAAGCTTTATCAAATTGCAAATTATGGGCAGTTGATCGACAAACATTTCAAGCTATTATGATGAGAGCTGGTATGGAGAAACAGAGTGAACATTTAGAATTGATTAGAAAGTATATTTAACTTAAATTTCATGAGATTTTCATTATAATCTTATACGTCTTTTGTTTTTTTTTTAGTATTAAAACTTTTGAAAATTTACGTGAAGATATTCTTAGTAAAATTGTTGATACATTCGATGAAGTTAGTTATGGAAATGGTGAATATATAGTACGACAAGGTGCAAAAGGTGATACATTTTATATTGTTGCCAAAGGTAAACTTTTCTTTTTTTTTGGTTTATGATATAAGTTTTCGAATATTATTCAAAATTGAATAGGACGTGCTCAAATTACTGTTGGAAAATCAAAATGGGATACACCTGTTTATAATCGACATCTTGAACGTGGAGAATCATTTGGTGAAGCTGCACTTCAATCGTAAGTTTAAACAAAAATATCATAGATTGAAATGAATAAAAATTTAATTTTTATAAAAATCTTCGATAAGGTTAATTTGATATTGGCAAAGAACACTATGTTTTATATAAAACAGGTCATTGATGTATATCTGGTGACAGAAAAGAATTTTTAAGCACTATGAAAACAATATATAATTCGATTATTAGAATGTCAATGAATGCTTTTCTTTCATATTAGTCAGATGCACATTATCGTAATATTATTGAAATTGCTTTGTAATCAAAGCTTCTGTTTATACTAGCTAATATAAAATTATCGAGATTCCATAACATATAATTATCCAAGATATGTTATGCGAAGAAGAAGAAGAAAAAAACACGTCATTGTCAGATTTTGAACGCCTTTTAACGAAAAAATAACCAAAAATCACTATGATTTTTTGGAATGGAGTTATGTCTATTTTAATCATAGAGAAATCTAATGACTGTTATAATATTGAAGAATGTTTACTTATGTTGAGATATTGAATTTTTGAGTAAACTCGTTTTTTCTTGTGTGTTTCACTCGATAAAACAACAATTTTTGTCAGCTGAAACTTTTAGTGTACTCTATAAGTTATCCTATCAATATATTGACGAAATTTCATGTCGAAATTGTGCTTTTGATTATTTGATATATAGTATCTAAAGATAAATCAAAAGTTGAGTAAAACGACCATAGCTCTGCTCCAAAGACCCACGGAGATGAATCGTTTTAGTATTTTTCTAGTCTAATCGAGACTACCTTGTGTGTCTATATATGAGCTCAAATGGCCGAAGTCAGTGCGGATAGTACCTTGGTAAGTATTTAAATCTTTGAATATATCAATGTTTATAATGAAGTACCATGAAAACTAAAGTTATTTATTTTTTTTCTATTTTGACATTGAATACAGACATTTCATCTTCTTTCGATATGTCTATTATTAAAAACTTATCAAATACTAAACTCATATTTTTTGCTCTAGGGAAGAAACTCGACCATTTAATGTTATAGCTGATGATCCCCATGGTGTCACATGTCTTGTCCTGGATAGACAAAGTTATCGTGAAATGATAGCCGATGAATTATCCCGATTACAACGTGAAGAATCATGTAAATATGCACGTAAAATGTATGTTATTATCTTATTTAGATTTTTATTTAATATTAAAAATATTTTTAGTACAACATTTATTAGTGGTGAAGATGAACGAGATTTACAAAATCTACGTTTAGGTGATATTGAAATTGTTTGCACACTCGGTGTTGGTGGTTTTGGTCGTGTAGAATTAGTAATTGTTTTATTTATTTATTTTTTAAATAGATTTATTTATTTTTTTTTTCGTACCTTCATTTATTCATATAATAATAGGTACAAGATACACGAAATTCAAAGAAATATGGTCTTAAACAAATGAAAAAACAACATATTGTTGCTATGAAACAACAAGAACATGTTATGAATGAACGAAATATAATGATGACAACTCGATCGGATTTTATTGTTAGGTATAGTTGAGTTTTCTTTCTTTTATATATATAAAATATATTTTGATGTAAAACAAAAATAAATAAACAAAATTTCAATTAGATTATATAAAACATTTAAAGATCGAAAATATTTATATATGTTATTGGAAACTTGTTTGGGTGGAGAATTATGGACATTATTACGTAATCGTGGTACATTTGAAGAATATGAAGTACGATTTTATAGTGCTTGTGTTATTGAAGCATTTGCTTATTTACATACCAAAGGCATTGTTTATCGAGATTTAAAAGTAATTTATTTATCTATAACAAAAAAACAAAACAATATTATTCTTTCAAATCATATGTTTTGTTATTTAGCCTGAAAATCTTTTATTAGATAACAAAGGTTATTGTAAATTGGTGCGTATTTTTCTTTTCCTATGATCCATTTTGTTTTTCTCGCGTGTTGATATTTGAGAAAATCACATGTATATATATATGTATGTATTTATTAGGTTGATTTTGGTTTTGCAAAAAGAATTGGTCTTGGTAAAAAAACATGGACATTTTGTGGTACACCTGGTAAAAAAAAAAATCTTGTTTTTTTTTTTTCTTCTGTATTATCAATATTTTCATTATTTGATATTTATGTAGAATATGTTGCTCCAGAAATTATTTTAAATAAAGGTCATGATATGGCTGCTGATTGTTGGTCACTTGGTATTCTAATATTTGAATTAATTAGTGGAAAGTATGTTATTATATGATATTAATTTTAATTTAATATGTAAACTGATTGTTTTTTTGTTATGTTTTGTGTTTAATTTAGTCCGCCATTTTCTGGTACGGATCCAATGAAAACATATAATATTATATTAAAAGGTATTGATGCTGTCGAATTTCCTCGTAAAATTTCAAAAAAAGCTTCATTATTAATCAAACGATTATGCCGGTATACATTTAATTAAATAGCAAAAAAAAAAAACTTAATAATAATAATAATTTATATTCAATAAATTTATTTTGATTTATAGAGAAAATCCAGTTGAACGTATTGGATATCAAAAAGATGGTATAAAAGATATTCAAAAACATCAGTAATACTTTTTTTGATTGATCCCAATTTTTAAATATACTATTAGTTTTATTTTAGATGGTTCGAAGGATTTAGTTGGGAATGTTTAAAAAAAGGAACATTAGTAGCACCTTATCTTCCGAAAGTAAATAATATTATATTTAAATTTTTAATAATTGTATTTGTCATAGGTTGAACATGATAATGATACATCAAATTTTGATTATTTTGCTGAAGATGATTCTCCTGAACCAGAAGATGATTTAACCGGTTGGGATAAAGAATTTTAATAGAAGAAAAATTTTTTTTGTGCTTCCAGAGTTCAATATATTGCTTGTATATTATTATTGAAATATTGTTCGTTCTTGTCTTTTTTTGTTTTTTTTTTTCGCTTGGTTTTTTTTTTCTCTGAATGCTAATCTATTTGTATCGTAAAGAGAAAACTTCTTATTCTTCGTTAGGATTTGTCTATAACTGCTTGTCGAAATCGTAATAAATGTCTTTTGATTGAATTATTCTAGTTATCTATAAGCTGAAGAAGGACGTTTTTATCTTATAATTGATTAGTTCTTATGTTCTATGTATAAAAGCAAAAAAGATATATTCGATTTATGAGTGACACAATTTTTCAATAGATAAAATCAAGAATTAGTCTTCTATGTTTATGAAAATGTTCTGAAAAGTAACATGACCTATAATAAATATTCTTGTCGGCTAATATACAAAACAAAAATCAAGATTAGGAATTTTTTTTTAGAATTCATTTCCAAATAATAATATCTATAGCACTATATATTTATATACTACTTATATTATCATATATATTGCAATCAATATTTTGCTTTATAAAAATTCATATATGATTATATAACATATATTTCTTTGGTCTCGAATTCAGATTATGAAATAATTGATTTAATTATTTGTCTTGAAATAAACTTTTATTATTTGATCAGTATATAGATTATTTTCTAGAAGATTCTATAGGATAGGATAATATTAGTAAATAGATCATGAAACTAAATTTTTGAAAAGATCGAAAGAAAATAAGTGCGACATAAGTTTTTCAAATTCATATATTTGACATAAACGACAACAGATTTATATAGAAGCATAACATCTTTAACGTCTATCAAGCAATCTAACCGTCAAGTCCAGAAGTGTTGTTTGCAAGTTTTGTGTTTCATGAAAGTTATTCAATGTTATCGTCGTTTACTATATCAACGTCAACATCTTCATTTGTTGTTGACTTCTTTGTAATTCTTTGCGTTCTTAATATGATATATAGGTTCTATTGACAAAAGCCTGTCGGATAGATTCCAGACCTGGTCGGATCCAGGTCCGAAAATGTCGAACTCAATGAACTTTAGTTGTCTGAGAAATGTGTAGGTCGCGCCAGTCATCGAATATTAAAAAAAAAAAAACGGAAGAGTATTTCGTATTTTCAGGGGAACTATTCAATTATGATTAGAAAATTTTATTGAGAGTATCAAAGCTCAAATCCAATTACTTTATATTTTGATCATTTCTCATGATAATCATTATGTTCAACAGCACTGCTAGTAAATTAACTAAATCCCTATCCTCAGACGATAATTACTATTTATAAATAAATATTCAAAACAAAACAAAAAATTTAAGAAACACATCACAGTAATATAAAAGAAAAGCAAGATAAGACTGGCGAGTCTTGGCCTCTATATGATCATAGTCTTGACACATCGTAAATATCTTTTACTGAATACAAAACAAACCTAAAAAGTCGAAAATTTCAACCTGAATTGAAAACCAAAGAGGTTATAAACTTCATATTTTCATGTTTACAAATAATCAATTTAATAGTTTCTCTACAATGGCACTAAAAGTTACTCGTACATACATTAGATGATATTGTTTTCGTTAATATTGTAAGTGAGATTCAATTTATTCAGATGAAAATTATGACAAAATGTTAGTGTTTTATGGTTTCTTTGCAATAAATATCATTTCTTTTCGTCAACAATTTACTATGATATTAAAAAAAAAATACTAAAGGATTAATCTTCTGATGATGCTCAAAGTTGATAGTACATTTTATATAAAATTACTCGTAATTTTCACATAAAAATACTATATACTTTCTTATTTTAAATAAGACAAAGCATTTTCTACAAAGTTCTAACGAAGTATTACTTTCTCTTTATGAAGTGAACGACTTATTTTGTCTGTCATAACAAGTTAACGGGCAAAAACAGGTCGTAAATGCTGTACATAAAATTATGAAACTTAAGCGACATTTTACCATAATCTTCACTATAATACATCGAATCCCTCTTATAATATTAGTTATTACTTGACATTACTTTTCATAGTATATTACGAAAAAACGTTTTTGTATGATCAAGGTTTAACATTTGACAAAATACGTTAATTCTGAATATTCCTTGTAAAAATAGACACATTGTTCCATTATATCTAATGAGTAATTATAAACATACATTCTACCGATCATATATATATATATACCTTCTAATTATTGTAAACAATATCATTGATGTTTTCAGGTAGATTACAAAGCAAAGCATTCAATAGAAATTTGATAGTTCCAAGAGTTTTAAACTAAGTATCACTTTTATCTTGCGTTTATTCAAAGACCAAAAATTAAAAATCAATATTCTTCTACTTAAGCACAATATACAATTGATTTATTATTCTAGTTGATTTTGTATATTGAGAATCAGTGTTTATCATATCCTAATCCATTTATGCAACAATTTTTTTTTTTTCATATATCTATTACTGATTTACGCAACCTACTAAAACTATCGAATAACCTATTTGACACATATATCTATACTTAATTTACATACCATAATGCAAAAGAATTTTTAAGAATAAATCTATTGAAAAGAAAAGATTATCGTTTTATTTTAAAGTTTTTCTTGATCTTTTAGAAAAGAAAAAGAAAAGTCATTGTTCATATCTTATTTCTTGTTCTTACATAAGATATCTATTAAGCTTCTTTAATGAAATTTACAATTGATCATAAATAGTGAACGATTGAATTTAACCTTGAATGATAGAAAAATGTATTTCACATTGAGGTGACAAATAATTTTGACCGATTGATTTTAAATGTATGTATATACGGTACATACATACATACATATGCAGACACAAAAAAAGTAATTTTTATCTTTGAGTGAACTTCTAATCAATAGGGTCAAATTTCCTCGTACTTCAAAGTTTGATTATCGTCATATACTTTTCTCCATCTCATTAGCTTACACAGCAGGAATAAGAACATTGACGTAATTCCATATTGTTCTGGTTTTCGCCTTCATCATTCTCGTTATCCAGTGACAGACAACTTCCATACGTAAAGTATGTTTATATCAACGTTCAAAACAAAATTAATCGATCGTATAGTACAATAAGAACGAAACAGGCGTCTCTATATTCAAATATAAACATATCCTAACCGATGAAAAGTCTGTAATAAGATAGAGTCATTATCGACCATAGAATATGAACACAAGAAAAAAAGAAAAAGATTTATGATAGTTCTACGTGCTTATTATTCTCTTTAGTTCTAATTAGCATTTATCAAATGAACTTCTTTGACCTTTAATAAATGTACACTGCATGAAATCAGGTGATTGAGTATCATTTAAGAACAAAAAAAAGGGCAAATTAACTATGTCTGTATATGTTTGTTGTTTCAGCTTGTTCATGTCTCAAGATATATTTTTGTTTCATTCATATTTTGTCAGTAGATTAAACAAAACAAAAAAAAAAAAGATTATTGAACTCTTAAGACCAACAGTGCGCATCAATGAATTTTATGAATAATGAACAATTCCCTCGATGAATTGAATGTGAATGCCGGTGATTTGCATGTCGTCACTATTTCTTTATCGATAAAACAAAAAGCATTTAGCACGTTAATCGATATTTAAGTATGTTGTTTGGTGTCACTTGACAAAACATATGTAGGTTTGATCTAATACTAGAAAAAAAAAAAGAGTGAGACAAAAAATAATAGATCATTAGTTTCAGATGATGATATATCATGTTGTCATAAATATTTAAAAAGAAATAATAATAATAATGTTGACCTTATCGTTGAAGAATACTAAAGAAGTTATTACGACAAGTTATATCACCTTATTTGACAGTGATTGATTCATAGAGTAGAAAGGCGTGTTTAGTTTTTCTTTCTTTTTTTTTGTTCACTAAATGTGAATGACCAATACAAAAAAAAAAAAGAATGTTTGTATTCTTTGTCAAGTATATAATTAGAATAAGAAAGAGAGCGTATACATACACGTCACCAGCATTTAGGTTTTTTTTTATTCTTTTGTGAAAAGATCGTTTGAAATTTTATTTGCATTTATTTTAATGCTTCACATAAAAGTTTGTTTGAGAATATGAAAATTATATTTCTATTCGTTCAGATCTTCTCTTTGTTTTTTTTTTGCTTAGTTTGAACAATAATAACATATCTCTTGTGTCTCTTCTTCAATAGAGCACCATATACCAAAAAAAAAAAAAAATCTATTCATCTCAAGAGAGATGAAGAGAACGCTATACTAATGATATGAGTGAGAAGCTTTTTTCTACGCTCTCTCTCTCTCTTTCTTTCTCTCTTGATAGAAAATGTGTGCTGATCGCACGTCTATACTATTGTACATACGCGAAGTATATACATATATAATTCTGTCTCCCGCTCGCTCGCTCGCTCTTCTCTTTATAAATTAATGATAACCTTGTGTAATTCTGGACAGTAAGTATACTAGATTTAATCATATTGTTTCGTTGATAAAACCACCTTGAACTTTTGACTTAAGAGAAATCTTTCTAATCTATTCTATATACACATATTCTTCTGTTGATTGTTTGTTTTTCACTTTAGTTCTCTTTTTTCAATGTACAAATATTTGTTTGCATGTTCTCCTTCTCATTTACTCTAGACAAATGTAAAATGATATGAATTGATGAGTGTATATCTTATTCATTCGTTTTGTCCCATTATCTGTCTTATATATTGTTTTTCTTTTTTACCAAAACGACTCGACAGCTGTCAAGTCCATATGATAAATATGAATGAGAATTTAACCATCACTTAAATTCAAGTGATCATCATCATCAGGTATAAGCAATTTTTTTGAGTGACAGTTCTTTATTGTACAAACGCTGTAGGGTGTTTGAACGACTAGTTCTAATAATTTCAATTGTAAATGCATTAGCACGGATATATTGAAACAAAGAAAGTGTGTGTGCGGCATTTTGAAGTTGAACAAATAATTGTCCCAGGTATTTCGACCAATCATTATTAAGACAAAATATTCACATCTTCTTCTGCTTCAATGAAGACATCTAATGCGATTATCTCTATTGCACACATACTACTGATAGATTCATCATCATCAACGACAAGCTTCTCTGAACCAGTCAGTCATTTATCTACTGGTTACACTTCGCTCTAAGCAAAGACAAACATTGATTGTATATGTTGCAGATGAATGGATGTTATCATTACCTACTGTTACTGAGCTTATTCAGTTCATTAGAGAAAACTATTTCAATTAATCTACCAAATGTAACTATTCAACATGTCTGTGAACATGATTTACTTTTTATTAAATGTTCAAATATAAATGAAACAATTCAAATTATACGTTCAATGTATGGACGTACATCACAAAGAATTTGTAATTATGATTTAACAAATCAAATTTTTTATAAAACATGTGCAAATATTGAACAGTCAAAATATCAAACTAAACTTCGGTAAATATTTTTTTTTGTTTTGTTTTTTGTCTTAATTTAGATTATTTATATTATTTAGATGTCAAAGAAAATCAACATGTCAATTTCTTATTGATAATACTATTTATACTGATCCATGTGGATCAAATATATCAAAACATTTTGAAATACATTATCGATGTATAAATTTTGATGAAATTTGTTTACAATTATTTCATAATTGTTCAATATTAAAAGATTTAAAATGTATAGAAAAAATTCAAGAAGATTATTCATATCAATGTCCATCAACAATATGTGAATATAATGATAAAAAACAATTAATTGGTTTTATTGAAAATATATGTTCATCAGAAAAATTTCAAGGCATTTATTGGCCTAAAACACTTGTTAATAAAGGTCAACATATGTCTTGTCCTTATCCATGCACTGGTATGATAGATTAACATATTTATCTTTGTTACATCATATTGAGAATTTAAATTAATTATAGGTCAAATATTTCGTTTTTGTCATGTGAATAATCAATGGTCAAAACCGAACTATACAAATTGTCAATGTCCGATAAACAGATTTGATCAAGTAATTTAATCTTCTTGTTGAAAGTTTTCTTCCTTTTTGTTCATATCTTATTGTCTATTTTGATTAGTTATCAATGCATAATTTAGCTCATAGCTATGTCTTTCAATGTAATTTTTGGTTAATCAATAGACTTTTGCCTAAGGATAATCAATGCATTTTTGTACGTAGATTTTTTTTTTCTTCTTTTATTTATTAGATAGAACAGATTTTGATTGTTTTAGGAGACAGATGAACATGATGATAATGATTCAGCGACTTGTCTATTAAGTGCTTTTGAAAAAATGTCATTTACATCCTGTTTATCGTTTAGTATTGATTTTAAAAATCTTGGTTTGTAGAAAAGAAAAAGAAAATATATTTTATGATTGAATGAATTATATGAAATTTTAGGTTTTGAAATTTTTTTACCAATCAATAATAATCAACGAAAATTTCGTTTACCAAGAATTGGTAATGAATTTAAATCACAATTTGGTTCAAATCAAATTTTGTTTAATAAAATTGATAATACATATGAAAATTTACCTATGATGTTTATTGATATGAAAAATTCGAGTTCAAGTACAAAATCATTAATTTTAGTTGAACAATCATATAATTTAACTTCAATACAAACAGCAAATGTAACAGTGATATTTAATCATCGAGTTAGTAAAAATTTATGTTACATTGTTTTGTTTCTTTCAGAAATAGATTAGTAAAATTTCTCGATTTTATCGTATTTTATTTTACAAGAGAACGCATCCGATTGATGTTTTTCATTTTAACTCATATTTTACTCATAGTGTAGATAAAAATATTGAAAGGGTTCATGCCATTAGTAGAGTCCATCAGAACAGTTCCAGATTCAAATCTACTCGAGTCTTGATCCGAAAAATTTGGACTCGACGAATTCTAGCTGTCAGACCTTTCTCTTCAACAATAGCTTTTGTAGGACCATGAGAACTAATTTTGGAAAGAATTTCAGATCGACACTTGTTGTTGCGATTATTCTCATAATATCCTGAAATATGCTAAAAGTTTAGTACAACGGCCATAATTCAAGAAGAAAAGTCTAATGGTACGAATCCTTTTAGAATTTTTTATCTAATAATTTTTTTGGAGTAAGTTCGAATTTGATCTCTCGATGGGTAGTTTTCTTTTTTTTAAGAATAGACACTTAGAAAAAGCTACTATATCATAGATTAGAAATCGAGAATAAAAACATTAATCGCTATGTCAAATTTTGAAAAATTTGGTCATGAAAAAGACAGATGACATCTTCTTTTGGTGTAGTGGAAAAACCAAGGTTGATAATAAGATGGCATCATTGACCTTTTCTTTACATTAAACAGCACTACATTTGTTTTCTTAATGAAGTCATATGATAAGATTCTTCTTTTGAAAGATCTCAACTTCAGAAAAATGATTGTAATGTGTTATTTCGGAAATTTTTATTTTTATATTATCAGTTAGTTCTTAGCATTGAAAATTTTAACATTGTATGTATCGTAATTGATTTTACACATCTGTATAATCAACATAAATCTATAATTTAAATACTTCTATATTAATTATATTGTGAATGTACGGAATTTAACTAATTTCATTTGTATGTTTATCTATTTATCTATTGTGTTTTGTCAGATAATGTAGACTATAGAAAATAAGATATCTGTCAAGACTTTAATTACTATATTGTTAAAATAGTTTTTCCAGAAAGAACCTGGATCAGGCTTGAAAAGCTGACTGAATTCTATCTATTGAGAATATTATTGATATTGAAATATTCAAAATATAGATGTAGTTAGAAGTTCTATTTTATGTTAATTGTATAGATGTATACTATCAATCAAGACACATCCAATGTAACAGTTTTCAATGCTGAAAATCAGATTAACATGAAAACTCAAGTTTTCTAAATAATAGTCTACAGTCATTTCTATGAAGCTGAGATCAATCTTACTTCTTAAAGATGGCCAATAAGAAAGAACACATCATGCTATCATGATCAGCACATTTGAGCTCTATAAATTAGCATAAAGCTGATTGGAAACAAGACTCAAACTTGAAGACCTTCCCTTGTTAGAACGAAGATAAAGTGCTTCTTTTTACTATAATGATAGAATATCTACTTTCGGATACTAAACTATGTACGGTTGAAATCTCACGAAGAGATTCTTATTTTCAGAGAATGAATGTTGATCACATCAAATGAGTCTATCTAGAAATCTAAATAATACAGATTTTTGACTGATCAATCTGTAATCATACCATGTTACTATTATTCATAGCTTCTAACGCAATATATTTTGTATGCAAACAACCTAGCTGTGAATTTATACTGAGATTT